CGAGTCTGCAAAACCAGAAAGTTTGAGTGTGGAGGAGGAAGAATAAAACAATCCCTTAGCAGGAGCACTTTTGAGGTATTTGAGCACTCTAATTGCTGCAGAGTGATGAACTTGTAATGGCTTAGATATAAATTGACTAAGTTGTTGAACAATGAAGGCAATATCAGGCCTGGTTGTAGTCAAATATAACAGTTGGCCAACAAGTCTCCTATAGGTTGTTTCATCTTCATATGGGGTGAGTCATTGTCATGAAGTTTCAAGGATTAATCAAAAGGAGTTGTACTAGGCTTTGTAGCTAATAAACCATTGTTCTCAAGCAATTCTAATGCATACTTCCATTGATTGAGAAAGATGCCTTGAGTGGATCGTGCAACTTCCAATCCAAGGAAGTATTTAAGCTTGCCAAGATCCTTGATTTTGAATGTGGAATTAAGAAATCGTTTGACAGAATGTATTTCCTGTAAATCATCACCTGTCAAGACAATATCGTCAAGATAGACTAGAAGGGCAGTGAAATGAGAATTATGTAGTTTTGTGAATAAATAATGGTCAACAGATGACTGTGAATATCCAAGGGAGATAAGAGCAGTGGATAACTTGGAAAACCACTGTCGGCTAGCCTATTTCAGTCCAAATAAGGATTTACGTAATTTGCAGACTGTATTGGAAGAAGAATTAGGGAGAAAGAACCCAGGAGGCAGATCCATATACACTTCCTCATGCAGATTACCATGAAGGAATGCGTTGTTAACATCAAGTTGTTCTAAATGCCAGTCCTTAGTAGCAGCCACATATAGAAGGGTGCGAATTGTTGTGAGCTTAGCAACTGGTGAGAAGGTATCAAAATAATCCACACGCTCTAGTTGAGTGTATCCCTTTGCCACCAAACGGGCCTTGTATCGTTCAATGGATCCATCAGCATGATGCTTGATCTTGTAGACCCATTTGCAACCAATTGGTTGCTTACCTGCAGGCAAATCAACAACAGACCAAGTGTTTGTGGATACAAGAGCATCTAACTCATATTTCATAGCAAGATTCCAACAGTCAAACTTACATGCTTGTTTATAGGTTTTGGGTTCTGTAAGGGAATTAATGGATAGGCAAAACTGTTTGTGACAAGGACTACATTTTTCATATGACAATACAGAAGAAAGAGGGTAAGGAGAGTTACCTGGAGTAGATGCTGACAGCAGTGAGGATAGAAAATTGCAGTGATATTCAGAGAGATAAGCTGGTGGTTTTGTGAGTCTGTTAGATTTTCTGGTTGGTACAGGAGGGGAAGTAGGAGAGATTATGTCATGTGGTGAAGGAGGTAATTGGTGAAGAGAGGGAGAAGAGATGATGTCATGTGGTGAAGGAGGTAAATTATGAAGAGATGGAGGAGAGGTAGGTTCATTTGGTAAAGTTAAGGATGGTGGAATATCTGTGAGAATGTCAAATGTGTCAAAGGTATTTGTATCAGGGTTGATACTGACAGAATGATTTTCAAGTGTGGGTGAAGCAAAAGGAAAGATAGTTTCATGGAAGATTACATTCCTTGAAACATAAAATTCATGGGTGAGAGGGTCATAAAGGAGGTAGCCTTTGGTGCCTTCCTTATATCCAAGGAAGATGGATTTTCTTGCCCTTGGTGCAAATTTTGTTCGATTGTTATGTAAGGTCGAGGAGTATGCAAGACATCCAAAAAATTTTAAATGATTAAGGCTGGGAGGAGTAGAATGAAGCATTTGATAAGGGGTGAGGTTGTTCAAAAGAGGGGTGGGAAGTCTGTTGATAATGTGAATAGCTTGTTGTATGGAGAGGTGCCAAAGGTTATGAGGGAGATGAGAGTGAAAAGAAAGAGCACGTGCAACATTCAAAATGTGTTGATGCTTTCTTTCCACGATGCCGTTTTGTTGAGGTGTTTCAACACATGACCTATGATGGATGATACCTCGAGAAAGGTAAAAACTAGTCATGAGAAACTCAGGCCCATTGTCACTACGAAGACATTTGAGTTTCTTATTGAATTGAGTTTCTATGAAGGAAATGAAATTAATTAAGTGAGTTCGGGTTTCACTTTTATTTTTCATGAAAATTGTCCAAGTAAACCTGTTGTAATCATGTACAAGTGTTAGAAAATACTTATGACCACATATGGAAGGGGTGGAAAGAGGTCCCCATATATCAGCATGAATTAAATCAAAAATGGCAACAAATTTAGTATTACTATGACCAAAGGGTAAATTTCTTTGTTTAGCCAAATGGCAAGTATGACAAGGTTTATGATTGTCATTGAAAGTGACAGAAGGAAATTGAGATGAATTACATTTGTGTATATGAGAACTTAAATATCCTAGTCTAAAATGCCAAATGGTGGTAGGATCAGGTTTAGAAGAATGTAAATGAGTAGAGATGGTGTTGACAGAATCAGGTGTGGGAGAGAGATCCAGAGATGAGGTAGTGTCAAGCACATACAATTTGCCAATCCTCCTAGCTGTAAATCCAGTCATCTTGGGATGGAGTAGCTGCACAATTTTACAACAATTAGGGTAGAGTTTGACATCATATAAGGTGGAATCAAATAGAGTAGTAATATAGATAATGTTGACATGAAATGAAGGAAAGTAGTAAACATTATGAAGGACAAGGGAGTCATATAACAAAACTGAACCAGCTATTGTGGTAGTAACAGTGTCACCATTAGGCATGGTCATAGATTTAGGTGCAATGTGATATGTGGAAAAATAACTGTCAAAGATATGAGTGATGTGATCAGTGGCACCAGTGTCAATGATCCACCATTGACTAGTATTATCACATTGGGGTTTTGAGAGATTCTTACCAGATGAGGGAGAGGGAGAGGGAGAGGTATGAGAGACAAAATTTGTAGCAAAAAGAGAATTAACTGAAGAAGGTGGATTAGATTGCAAGTTGGATTGTTGGAGGAGCTGTAAAATCTGAGTATATTGCTCTTGAATAGTGGACAAAGAAGCACTTGATCCATTGGTTGATGAGGAAGCGGATGATGATGAGGAAATTGGAGCAGAACCAGCATCTTGAACAGAGTTCACCACAGAAGCATTTCCAGCAGGTGATGAGGAATTTGCCTTACGATGTTGAAACCCAGGAGGATACCCGTGCTTGATGAAACAAGTCTCAATAATGTGGTTGGTGCGACCACAGTGAGTGCATAGCCGGTTGCCACGGCCACGACCACGACCAGAGTTATGAGAAAAACGAGAAGGCGTTTGAGAAGAGTAATTCACCGACGATTGATTCTCAATGGAAGAATCAGTGGTTGAATGGAGATTGAACAGGCGTTCTTGTTGAAGAATCAGATTGAACGCATTGTCAAGGATTGGAAGTGGAGACATCAGCATAATTTGTGAACGAACATGAGAGTATTGATCACCAAGACCTTTCAAGAACTTGATTACGTTATCTTGCTCCTTGAATTTGCGTAGATCTGTAGCAGCACCACAAGAACACGGTATAGCACAAGTACAATCACAAATTGGGCGAAAAGTTTCGATTTCTTCCCAAAGCGTCATCAATTTGGTGAAATACGAAGAGATATCAAGAGTTCCTTGTTGAAGACGAGCTACTTCCTCTTGAATATCAGCAATGCGAAAAATATCACCCTGAGAGAACCGGTTTTCCAAACTCTTCCATACAAGAGAAGCACGATCACACCGGAGGAGAGATTTCGCAATATCTTCAGAGATTGAACGTTGAAGCCATGAGAGGACAAGGTTGTTACATCGAAGCCAGGGTTCATAGAGAGGATCAGAGATAGAAGGAGGAGAAAGAGTGCCATCAACAAATTTTACCTTGTTCTTGGAGATAAGAGCCACCTTCATCGATCTGCACCAGATTTGATAATTCTTGTTATCAAGCACAGGTTGAACGAGAATAAGAGATGAATTCTCATTCGGATGCATATAATATGGATTGGAGGGATTGGTAGCAAAATCAGAGTAAGAAACCACCATTGTTGAGGTGATTCAGCAAGAAAAAGGAATTGCAGAACGCAAAGAGGAAGATGAATCGCAGAAAAAAAGGTTTTCAAACTGATACCATGTTAACTTTGGAAGGTATATTCATTATAAAAACCTAATTAGAATGTACAAGTGTAGATAATATATATAGTAAACTAGGGAACTAACTAACTCCTAACTTAGCTCCTAACTTAACTCTTAGCTAAACTAATTCAGTTACAACTAAGATTAATTAGAGTTATTATTTACATCACTATTTTCATCATGTAATATGATGGTTCTGTTGGTTTAGGTGACAAAGTAGTTATTGCTCCATTGGCCAGATAAGTGTTGTTGTTAGTTATTGTTTTCTACCTAAAAGCCATCAAAAAGCTGTTTTGGTTTTCTTCCAAAGGAAAGGAACCTCGTACCCCCATTAAATTAGTCGTATTCTTCAGGCTGAATTTCAAATGGATTAGGTGAGTCCAATTCAGAACAATGTTGATACTGACATATCAGTCTACCTTTGGTTACAACATCATATGACAGTGGCTTAGATAACATAATCAAAATTCAAAATAAAAATCATTATATGTAGTAGACCAAATAAAACATTATCTATAAAATAAACTTTTGATTTGTTAAAAGTCTTTTCCATAATAAATATGGCTTCATTCAAGTTCAACTAACTAATTGACTACAAAATTACAGGTTCAAAAATCTCACTGAGCTATTCAATGCAAGTCAGAACAAAAATCTTTATATATAGAAGGCAATGCCAATTCCAAAAAATAAAACAACAAAAAACCAATAAATCAAAATTGCATAAGCTAGCCCAACCCTAAGAAAAAAAGGACTATGAACACATCAATAGGATTTCATCTATACACATCACTAATTTGACACTAACCTATTCATGTACAAAAATGCACATATGTAAAAATGGAAGAAAAAAAACTACTAAATAAACAGGACAAAATTTCGTCACATATCGTTAGCAGTTTTTTTTTTTTAAATCGATAGAATTATCGATTTAGATTAACGGGCGAGATTTCCCACACTCCAAATGGAGCTTGCAAATGTTGTTCCCGAAGAGCCCGATTCTTGTGGCGAGCTTGTTGTCATGTTCTGTTTTATTCTGATGTGTCTGAGATCAGCAACAAATCCTGGTTTTGAAATGTGAACATCATTCAGTTCAACACTGTTATTGGTCAACATTTCTACAACGTCTGACATTCGTGGCCGTAATCTTGCGGTTTCTTGCACGCAAAGTAATCCAACTTTGAGGAATTTTATGGCTTCTTTTGCGGAATAGTTTCTATTAAGCACAGGATCCACAATTCTTAATAGATTATCGGCCTCATAAGCTGCATAAGCCTGCAAACATGTTCAAACCAGTTGACATTAATGTGTGTTTTGTCAAATGTTGACAATTTCGGTCCTATATGCTACAATGATCATTCACTATTTTTTTCCACAAAGTGAGGTAGAATTTTTGTAGCTATCCTTGTAGCATCGACAACGACACTTGTGACTATGTCCAATTTATTCAGTTTTTTAAATTATTATCAGTATCAACGTGTCATAATCAACGTCGTGTATGATGTTTGGGTCTCCCTGTCAGTGCTTCATAGGTAGCTATACAAGAAGGGTAAATAACTTTTTGATTTCAAATTTCATACCTTTTCGACAATGAAACGTTCGATATCTTTATAGGCATCTACAACGGCTAAGCCAGTGATAACTTGTAAAAGCAATACTCCAAAGCTATAAACATCTGATTTTCTTCTCAGTTGTCCAGAACTAGCATACTCAGGAGCCAAATAACCCCTGTCGAACAAATCACATTAGTTAATTAACAAAAGGAATTCAAATTTTCAATCATCGTACAATTTGTTTTCTTAATCTTAACACTTACAATGTCCCTGCAACTCTAGTGCTAATGTAAGATTTTTCATCTCTCATCAATTTCGCCAAACCAAAATCTGCAAGTTTCGGTGTAAAACTTCTGTCTATCAGTATATTCTTAGCTTTGATGTCCCTATGCACTATATGAGGCTTCAACTCCTCATGGAGATACGAAAGTCCACGAGCCACACCGATTGATATACTCTTCCTTTCTTCCCAACTGAATCTCTCCCGTTTATCCTCCGAACCTATCAATCAAAAGCCACAACAAGAACCATAGTTTATTTCCACCTCATTTAAATAATGTTCCAACCTCAAGTTCGCTGCACTGTTATACTACTGTTATACAGAAGATTCAGTGCAATGAACTTAAAGTCGGAATAGATGATATTTAGAGAGAAAATTGAAAAAAAGAGTTGAAATGAAGTACCTAAGAAAGTGTGGTGGAGGCTATTATTCTCCATGTAATCATAAACTAAATATCTTTTTGCTCCTTCAACACAACACCCTTTAAGGCTAACAAGATTACGATGCTTCATATTTGCTAGTGTAGCTAACTCCGCAACAAATTCTCTTTCTCCTCTCATGGATTCAATTTCAATAGAAAGCACTTTCACAGCAACAAAAGATCCATCCTTAAACCTTCCCTTAAAAACTCAATTAAATTAAACCCTAATCAATTTTTCCATCAAATAATAATAATAATCATAACTCAATAGTTAACAAAAATTAATAATAAAATATCTAACCTTATACACAGAACCAAATCCACCTTGTCCAATTTTGTCACTGAAATTACCAGTAGCAGATTTCAATTGTTGATAAGTGAATAGACGAAAGCTTCCATCATTAATCTCTCCATCAGCAAAATCTACGACAGATCAAAACATGATTAACAAAAACAAAACATAATTTGAGTGTTTAATTAAAGTAAATATATGTATTATACCGTTGTTGTTAACTTCAGTAGAACATGAAAATAAACAAGCAGGAAAAGAGAACTTCATGACTCAGAAGAAAAGAGGTAACAGATTTGGTTGGTGATAGAAGTTGAGTGTATTTATATATATAAGAAAAAACATGTTTGAAAGAAGAAAAAGAAACACGGTGTTAAGCTCAGAATATTAATTAGCCTTTGACAATTTCATCTTGGAATTTTTGTGAACTTTTTTTTAACTGGGTCTAAATTGACGACGGAGTCGTTTATGAGATAAGGTTTGTGAAGGATAGAGAGGACAAATGTTATTATATTTTATATAGTAATATGAAATGAGGCCATGCTTAAGGAATTATGTAGGTATATATTATAAAAGAAAATTAAGTATACCTCGTGACTCGAGTAAACACCAAAAGGCATACTTGTGTACACACTTAAAAAGTTCATTTTAGAACCGTGGGTTTTGAATTAAATTTACTTTTGGTAATTGTTTTTGTTTAGTTTTAATTTTGATTTTTAGTTATTAATTTGTTAATATAGATAGATAGAGAGAGATTCCTACACCTTGATGGCACATGTTAGAAAAAGAAATTGATTTTGGTTTTAAAAAAATCATTATTCGTTGTATTGCATTAAATTCTACCCATGTCCTTTTCATCAAGTTCCCGTGCTTTCATAATTGACTGATTTTATGACGTCTTCAAATCAGTCAAATGAAATTTGATGTCTTCTAATAATATTTGATTGTCCTGTTTGTTCCCACATTCTCTAGCCCCAAGTTAAGGGTCTTGTCTCCCAACAAAAAGTTGTCTTCAGTTGAGGACTCACCTTCCTATAAAAAGGATGTCTTCATTTGAGAGATTGACCCTAAGCTTAGGAACATGCCTCCCAATAAAAATTACGCATTTAGTTGAGGGATTAGCTCCAAGTTGAGGGACTCGCCTCCTACTTAAATGGACCATTTACCAAAATATTGAACCTGCCTCTTGGAGAATGACTCACTGTAAACTATGGGACGAAACCTAACAGAAGTTTTAAAATATTTCACCTTTTACAAAGCCCTCGTGTTTGAGGGACAGTGTAGTGTTATATTTTTGAAAGTCCCTAAATTAGAGAGATGCAAGGGTTTTTGCCCATGAGATGATGCTTGGGAGCTACCTTTGTGTAGTATAGGGCTAGCCTTCCTAATGAGACATGTGCACAATACCATTATCTCACCGTCAGTTATGCAAACTGAGTAATGCAACGACTTCTTCAAGAATAGATAGTCAATAACCTCCCTTAGTCAAGGGGAGCAATTACGACGTCTTAGGGTTTCCTAAGTATTAGGCTTAAGGGTCTCTATAAATACTTATCCCCTAACAAGGAAAAGGGAAAACCTAACTTAACCACGTATCTCATAATACACATAGTCTTTCATCTCGCGTTAGTTGGACTCTCATATCACCATAAACATTGTAAAACCACCATACATGATTTCTCGCCACCGCGGGCAAGCCCTATCTATCCTAAACTATTATAAACCTATTAAGACCTCTAAGTGTCTCCCACCCTTGTAAGGATACCATGCATACATGTACTTTTTTTATCATTACAAGCTTAAAATACACCCCAAATTTCCTGATACTCTTAGAAATAACATTTACTTTTCATCCACATTGCCACGTTGTAAGAAGACTTATAGTGGCCATAAGCATGCCATCTTGTTTCAATTATTAACAATATTTTTCAATCCAAATAACTCATACCAACTCAACTCTCATTCAGAGACGTCAATAATGTAACATCTATTTAGGTTGTCAATTTGGTTCTATGTGATTTGTAGGTTAATGTCCTTTAAAGTTTTTGATGATGGTAGTTGTCTGGATCTATGTGCTAGAAGGTATATGAAGAAGTGGTCCAAGATGATAGAGCTCATGGATAGCAAGACTTAAGAATCAAATACTTAGCTTTGACGATTGATGATGACTACACTTGAAGTCAAGAAAATGCTAAAGTTGTAAGTAGAGATTGCACCTAACAGGGGGGTGAATCAGGTACTTTGATCGATTTTCGGTTACTTAAAATTTTGCTTCTAACTTTTTTGTTTGGTGATGATTTAGAAAGCAGTAAAGTGCAGAAATGTAAAGAACATTGAGATGTATCCTAGTTCCCCTCATAATTCGAGAGTACATTCTGCCGTCTTACGCAGTAAAAGATTTCACTAAGAGTTTAAAACTTTGTACAAGCCTATCCTAGCCATTATACACAAGTTCATAACTCAATCGATAAGGACAATCCCCTTATGATCTTTACAATGTGAAAGAAGAGAACAAACCTCTTTTTTCACTCTCTTGCTTCCAACAATCTAGGGCAGCAAGGTATTCACACTAATATAAATTTTTATACAAGAGTTTGAAGTTGGATAATATGTATATAAATTACTAGAATTGATCTTCCCTTTCAAGCTTACAATTCACAATATGGTATATAAGTGCTCAAAGATTATAGTGTTAAAACTTTAAAAAATGCAATAAAAATGTATGCAGTAAGTTTAAAACAACGATTAAGACACAAGGCACTTGTTTTCAAAATGAGAGAAAGAATGAATTTTAATTGTATTGAAATAGGTGAATTTTTGAAATCTGAAACATATGATATTTATATAAGTATCATACCATTTTGAAAGAGTGTATAATGATCAATCAATGCAATGTTTGGTGGTATACAGATAAAATACATTTGAATCAGATTTTTCATGAAAAAGGGCAGCTACTTTAGTGGTAACCGGTTAACACCAGTTATAGCAGAAGCAAAGCCTAAAAATTTGAATTTTTTGCATGTGTAACTAATTAACCAAAAGGTATAACCGGTTACACCTGGTACATTTTAAAAAACTAACGTATTTTATGTTTTGAGTATCAGGTGCGAATTGTAGCGGTTTTAAAGTTCCTGTTACGATGTTTTCAAATGCCACTATTTACCAAAAACACAATGTTTGAAACAATCTTCTGAAAAAATAACTTTTACATTTGTTTAACCAGTTAACCAAATGGTGTAACCGATTACACCTGCTATAAAATTGAAAAATGCCTTAAAAATCAGTTTGTATGCAAATTCCATTAAGTGTTAAACAAGGTTATGTATGTGAATGAAAATGCCATCATTTTTTTAGCACTATAGTATAACATATAATGGAATTTTAACTTGTACCTAAAGATGATGATCAAGCTCCAAAGAGGTCTAAGTTCATCTTGACAAAATTGCTTGAGATACAAGTCTTGATTCCATAGCTTTGACTTATTATGCTTTTACTCATCCTTTGCACATGGTCTTGTGAGATTAAAGTTGTCTTCATCAAAGAACAATGTTAGAGAAGCTTGACTTCACAATCTCCCCCTTTTTTATGATGACAACTATTGAAAGTGAAAATGATTTAATCTCTTAGAACGTTTAAGAAGCTCTCTTATGATGCTTTTACTCATCCTTTGCACATGGTCTTGTGAGATTAAAGTTGTCTTCATCAAAGAATAATGTTAGAGACGTTTTACTTCACAATCTCCCCCTTTTTTATGATGACAATCTGTTAGCTCAGAAATTTGACGCCCATATTAAGTTGGAAGTGTTGATGAGAATGTTAAATTCTTGAAGAGGTTTAAAGGAGTTTTTGATTGGATCTTCATGATAGGTTTAATTCGAAGGTGCTCACATAAGGAAAGGATACTTTTTGGAATTAGAAAATATTTCTAAGAGTTGGGAAGCTACTTTCGACCGAGAATACTGATGATGTTCGACGCTTAGGGAATTCAAAATTCAAATAAAGGAGGGAGTAGTTATTATTGTCATCTCTTGAATAAGACAAATGGCGCACATCCAAGGGACAAAAGCTTGCAGCACCACACTTGTCATATGTTAATTTTTTTAGGAAGTTAACAGCAGTTAGTTTTGTTATTATAAATAGGAGTTCTAGAAATAATATTAAGGGGGGATAAGTGTATGTGTTCACTTTGTACAAGTTACTCCAGATTTACTCAAAGTATCTGCATGTAGAGAAAAGAGTCTTGGGAGAATGTACGTGATGTAAACACCATTTTCTTCTTTAATGCAATTTACATTAACTTTTCATTAAAAAAATTATCTTTTACTTTATTGCAAGTTACGTTTCAACATCGTACCTTATTTTTTCAGCCTTTCCTTTGATGTCTTCATCCCTTTTTTTTATTTAATGTTCTTGCGTTTCTTTCAAACCATACTTTTAGATAAACTTCTCTTTATGAACATTGTCGAAGTGTTTAGTCTTCAGAATTTACTCTTTCTTTATGCAAGTTCTTGTCTTCATCATTTACCAGTACTTCAATTTTACTTCTTTTTTCCCAAATCCATTTACACTTGAAATAAGTTATTTTATCATGAACTCTGTCGAAGTGTTCATCGTCTTTATAAACTTTATTTAAGATCAATTAGCACATGTCCTAGGATTTGTATGGTCGATCCTGCAAGTAAAATAGATCTTTTTCGATTTATAAGACCAGCGGTTGTTCACCAATTTTCACGGCGAACAAATTGGCACGCCCGATGGAACCATGCTAACTTCTATAAAGATTTTTCTAAGATTTTGTAAATATGCATTTATTAGTCTTTTCTTTGAGAAAAATTCGTTGCATGTTATTGAGAAATGGAAAAGTAGCCACTACAAACGAAGAGAGATCAAGGAGAAGAAACACTAGTAAAATGGCGATGGATACTAGTCAGCCAAACAATCCAAACCCTCGAGGGAGTGGTTCTAATCTTCAATCAAGTAATTCAGATAATCATCCTAGTAACACTAACCCTCGAAACGTGTCTAGGAATGATGTAGTGCCACCCCTAGTTCTTTCGACAGGAGAGCCAATATTGCCTCCTGTTATGTCTGAACCAATGCCATCAATGGTAGGTTCAGGGTCGACATATATAAGGGCTTACACTCAACTTGTTTTGGATTACATTGGGCCACAAGCATCTAATCCCCAAACTTTACCAAGAGGAACTTCGACGTTTAGGCATTTTCTCCCTCCAGGGTTTTCACAACCATTACCAAGGAATCCACCGTAT